TGAAGAGTAGAGCTGGGTCACCTTCATCACCTCTGAGTTACAGCATCATAGTGATGAAGAGTAGAGCTGCATCACATGCTCTGACTGTCATGAAGACACAACACACACATGTAGATGAAACGTGTGAAACATGTTGTTCCTGTTGCACAGCAGTGGAACGTTTCACACACACTGAGCACAGATAGTGAAGAGATAGAACTGCTGCTGTGTGAACAGAACACTGCTGCTAACAACAACCTGATGTGTTTAAAGTGTTTACACACAATGTTATTCACCTTTAGTTCATAGAGCAGCACTTTCAAAATAAAAGTGCACAATACACTACTTTTGAATTCATTATTGAACTTTGTACATAACAATGAGATTAATTGTGATTAAACATTGTAATCGTTGCCCAGCACTAATATATGTTTATATAAAATATATATTATGTATATATGTATATATATACATAATATATATATATATTATATATATATATTATAATCTAACATCAAAACAAAGAAACACAACCAAGAGTTTCCTCTGAGAATCTTTAATTATATCTTTATTGAGATGTTTATCTTTCATGTTTGTTTGAAATGTAGAAAAAGTGTTAAAAGTAAATTATTTTACAATCATTCATTTCTAACTTCAACCTTCTTAAATCGTTAACTGTATTGAGTCATTTATCGCGAAAAACAGACTAAAAGCACTGGATCCTACATTTCCCACAATGCACCTGGATGGCATCTCTCATTAGAACCTCAATAAAAATAAATACAACAATAAATATGATTTATAATGTAAATGTATTGATTGTTATTGAAACTGATAACTGACGTGTTTCTGCTTCAGAACCGAACGACCACTCATCAAACTAATGAACACGACTCGGCTGCAGAACCAGTGAAGGAAGAGATTCACATCAAAGACGTGTTCATGTATTTATGGATTCACTTTCATATTTCTGTTTGTGGATGAAATCTGTTGAATGCTGAAAACACTAAATGTTCTGTTTTTAGATTCCACACAGTAGGTTCTTATTTATGAAGCGTTCTTCATGAAGTTATTATATAAATGTTTAAATCAGCAGACAGACTGAACACAAGTGAAAACATTTTAATAGAAAATAATCAAACATTCAAACACATGTTCATGTTAACTCCAAATAAAAATACTTTTGTAGAAACTCAGGTTGAGCTTGTGTGATTTCTGTATCGTCTGTAGTTAGTCAGTATATAGTCGGTCTGTGGTTAGTCTGGAATAAATATATAGTCTGTCTGTAGTTCGTCTATGCTCAGTCTTTAGTCAGTCAGTATATAGTCTGTCTGTAGTTCGTCTCTGTGTCTCTACGTCTCAGTTTGATGGGACGGCGGTCTGTAGTCGGTCTGTGGTCAGTCTGTAGTCTGTCTCTCTACGTCTCAGTTTGATGGGACGGCGGTCAGCAGGACGTTCTCCAGAGTCACCTGACTGTTTACGTAACGAGTCAGTTTGCTGTCGAATCCTTTCGTCTTCAGGAAGTCGAGTCTTCCGCCGTCAATCAGACGTTTACAGAGACGACCGACCTGCTCGCGTTCGTCCGCCAACAGAAACCTGCAAAGAAGAAGAACCAGATTCAGATAAAGAGGTTAAACTTCTGCACCGAGGGGGTCAGAGGTCAAATATTTACCCGCTCACAGCGTCCGTCCCCTCCGCCGGGTCATGCTCTTCCACGTCTCCTCTCTGATTGGTCCCACCCTGAGGTGGACCGTCCCGATTGGTCGGTCTGAGTCCACACGTGGCCCAGCTGGACATCCGACAGAAAGCTGAGAAGTCTGCCGCTCCAAGTCCGTTCTGCAGGAAGAACTGCTGCCCGACGTAATGACGCCACTCACAGCGATGGTGGCAGCACAGCGCCACCGCCAGGCCCAGCACCGGACCAGGACCAGAGTCTGAACCGGGACTAGATTCTAGCAGTGCTGCTGCATCAGCTGATTCTGAGGTTTTGAGGCGTTTTGGTGGTGGTTCACCCTCCTCTCTGAGTCCTGGTGTTTCCAACAGACATCTCAGAGCCAGATCTGAGACCAGAGACAGACAAGGCCAGCTAAGTTAGCATTCTTTAAACCAATCAGAGGACAGGACTGCTCTCACCTGTCGCTGCTCCACACAGGTGTTTTCCAACTCCAACCAGCGGAAGCCTCCTCTGTCTGAGCAGCTGGACTTTACCTGAAAACATCAGTCAGAAGACTCAAACCAGAACTAAGTTAAACCACCAGACTCTCCAGATGTTAGTCTCTTACTTAAATCCAGATGTTGAATGTCAACCTGCAGCCTCTCAAACTGAACTCCAGTATCCTGATGTTTCCCGTCCACCTGGACCAGAACAGAACCAGATCAGACCTGATTTACCTCATAAATCATCAATCATTCTACAGGTGTAACGGCTGTATTTGGGGTTAGAACTGGTTTTGGCGCCCTCTGCTGGTCTGCTGGAGTAGTGAGGTTTTTCATGCCTTGAAGCGGGTGCTGCAGCGCTCCACCAGCAGCAGCTGCAGGTCGTCGCAGGTCTGCAGGTGGTCTCGGGTCTTCAGAGCTTCGTGGATCCAGTGAGACAGTTTCCCTCGACCAGCTCCAAACTCCACGAAGCACCGCCCCCTTCCCAGCAGCCCAAGTGCCTCCAGGTGACCTAAGAGAGAGGACTGGACACAGCTGACAGGTGAGAGAAGCTCCACCTCCTCCATGTGCACCTGTATGAACGTGGATCACCTCAGACTCAGAGTCCTGGGTCCTGATCCTGGCTCAGGACTCAGCTGAGTTCTTTTTTTGTGTACCTGCTGCTTCAGGTGTTTGTGGGCGGAGTCTCCATTCTTTGGGTTGTTGAGTTCCTCCTGGAGGACAGGATGAGACAGAACACTGTCCTCCACATCACACTGCAGTCCTACAACAACAACAACAACAACATGATGATGTCAGAGCTCTCAGGTAACAACACCTGCTTCAGGAGGAACTCACCTGTGACGGCTGTCTTCAGTTTGTCCAGCAGAGACTGTAACTCGGTCCGGCTCCTCTCAGACAGACTCACCTGAACCACCGACAGCAAGATTATTACAATGATGAAGATTAATATTATTATTGTGACTCCTTCAGCTGAGATGTTACCTGATGGAGCGTCTCTCCGTCAGCTGATCCAGAGTTTATGTTCTCCACATAATAAACCTGCAGATTCACATCAAACACTCACTGAGACACAAAACACATCCTGTGTGATACACATGTGTGTGTATATATATATATATATATATAGTAGTAATAATAATAATGATAATAATAATAACTCACAGGCTTTTCTTTCTCTCTGGAGTTACATTTCTTCAGATGTTTCTCTAGTTTGTTTTCACTCACGGTGCTGAAGAGTCAAACAAACAGGAAGTCACTCACAAACAGGAAGTCACTCACAAACAGGAAGTCACTAACAAACAGGAAGTCACTCACAAACAGGAAGTCACTCACAATATAATGTATACTCTATATTACTATACTCACTGTTTAGGGTCCAGAGGACACGGAATCCTCCTGCTGCCTCCTTCCTCCTGAAACAGGAAGTACAGAAAGTACATAAAATACATGAAGTAGTGGTAGTACTTGTAATGTGAGGTTATTGATTATTGATCAGACATACTGTTGAACCAACAGGATAATAACTCAGTGGCGGGCCATGTGTTGTATAGCTGGGCCTTCTGTGCTGTCCTACTCCAGGTGAACCACCTCCTAATAACCTCATGATGACGCATCAATCCAGCAGAGCTGCAGTGGATCCACGCATTCCACCACACAAGCCATTCAAATATTATTCATAAAAACCACACGATAGACAGATGAACAGTAGAAACATTACTGCAGATGTAAAAAAAACAAACGCAGTTCATTTACCAAATGCTGTTCACTTAAAGACAAAGTCCATCCTCCTTTCTTTGTTAAAGAGTTTAATCCCACGGCTGTACGGTACATCGTTTCAGTTCCAGTAAGAATGCTTCTCGATTCATGGACGCCAGTGATGACAGTCGAGCCTCCCCAGTTGTATTTCGCCGGTCTGCTGCGGGGCCGGGATCCCTCCTCCGCCGGTCCGCACGCCGGGCCGCGGTTGTGGAGCTGTTTCCCTGCGAATGTGTTTGTTGATCTGTAGATCCACTCGAGTCTCTCCAAAAGTTTCAAAAGCACCGTAGCTAGTGTCCTGCCGTGCTATGGTGTCCTCAGGTTAGCGTAGCATAGCGTAGCTCCAAACACCAAGACGCTCAGTTAAAATGAAACACATTCAGACATAACATGTGCAACGCTTCTCCGACGCTGTCAGCAAGAAACACCGTTCGTACAAATCCTTTCCCTGGCTGAGTCAGGCTGCCAGCTGAGGTTGACTGACCATTTCTTACGATGTCCAGCTTTTCCTGAAATGTCCTTGAGAAAGGTGTTGTCAGTAACTCCGCCACTAAATCTGTTTCTCCTCCTTATTCAGCCATTGAGTGTTAAAAAAAACAAAGCAGGTAAAAAAATAAATAAACTACACCAAGCAAACCCCTAAACATTTTATAATTTCTTCCATATCTTTCAATTTGAACTCTCACTCCTCCAACTAAGCTCTGATGTTAAGTTAAGTTTGACAATAGTCACGTGCTCGCCCACTGACCAATCACAGCGCACGCTGCACCTCACTGCAGAGCTGCACCTGGACACTGAGCTGACGTACTTGTTGTCCAGCTAGCAGCTCTGACACGTCAAAGAATACGCCCAACATGTCAAACTAAAGATCTGATTGGTTGAACACTATGACAATCAACAACATCGTCCCCATTCACTTAAACTGCACATGGATGCACTTGTGAGTCTGCAGGCCTCTGTTCTTACCTAGAGACACAGAGGTGAGATCTGATTGGATAAAAGCTCTACTTAAAACAAGCTGCACTGGAAGCAGAGCAACTGAGGAAGACAGGAGCTGTGCAATGAGAACATAAGATAATGGGAAAAATATATTTTTATCAATTATAATACATGTAGTGTATTTAAGAACAATTATTAGATTATAAAATAGATATAACTTTGTGATTATGTTTCGGCCAGCAGAGAAGGCCTTGCTGGCCCTGACAGACCACCACTGGGTTAATATATAAATAAACTTTATTAAACGTGTTTAATAAAGTTTATCTAACAGAAGTTATTGATATTTATAAATAAAGAAGCTTTGACAACCACAGACAGATTATATAATATTCATATTTATGATAAATATTCTAACAGTTTTACTCATTTTAAATGTAAGTCTTTACAAGAATAAAGATTTATTATGGCGGGAAAATAATATATTAAATTCGGATTCTATCACAACTTTTAACCAAATATTTAAAAAAAACGCTTTTGTGGACAGAAGCATAGAAGAAGAATAAAAAGTAAAGACTGAGTTTTATTAAACATCAGGTCAGTTCAGCTTCACCACGAGGAAGAGGAAGATAACTCTTCATCAAAGCTCCAGGAGGATAACCGAAGTTGTTTTACTTTGAAAAACCTGTTTTTTTTTGTCTCTAAACTGTTGAACTAATAAAGTTTAAACTTCAGACTCACTGATCAGCTGTTGTTATTACCACGTTGTCTGTGTCCCTGAACTCACCACGGTCTCTGTTATTACCACGTTATCTGTGTCCCTGAACT